GGACTCCTCCTGAACCCACTCAAACAATACCCTGTTGAACAAAAGAGCGTTGGAACGATTTGTAAACATACAACTGCATAGAATCTGTAGCACTGATACAAACCATTTAGCCCACACTCAGCCCCTGACGGAGCTTATGCTCCACGTGCGACGTCCACCCTTCCTAAACCCCTCTCCTACACTCCTCGATTCCCTTCTCCCCCATTCAAGCACTTAAAATGAATCTCGTTTGGATTTATGTTTCATTAGCAAACGACTGTTTGTGGGACGCTACTGTGCGTAATTGGCTGCCGGGTTTTGTCCACAAAATGCACAGTCAATTAACTTTACAGTATATTCTGTGTAGCGCTTTGAGACGTCTCAAAGACGTGATAAGGCGCTATATCAAGTGCAAGGATCATTATTATTATTAATTAATAATAATAATTATTTAATATTTTAATAATTTATTATTATTAATTGAAATCCCATTCGCTGCATTATGCTAACAGAGGTTCAGGCACAAACGCAAACGTCCCGTAGCTCAGTGGTTAGAGCACTCGCTTTGCATGCGAGAGACCTATGTTCCAATCCCAGCAGGGTGAAACCTTGGGCAAGTTTCCTTACTCCACACAGAGCCTAATTAATAATCCCTCAAGAAAAAAATAATAAATTGGTCACTTCAAACTACATCTGTTTGTGGGACACTGCTGTGCGCAATTGGCTGCACAAAAAGTACAGTCAATTCACTTTACAGTCTATTCTGTGAAGCGCTTTGAGACGTCGAGAAGATGTGAAAAGCGTTACATCAAATGCGATTATTATTATTATTATTATTATTATTATTATAATAAGAACAACTTTCAGGAGCAATACCTTAGCTTAGTAATTATTGTGGAATACTTGCTTGTGAGACTTTTCATCGTTACAGATCCGATAAAAATGTAACTGCTTCTCCGAGGTCACTCTGTGCCACACACACCCATGTCAGTCAGTCTGTTACTGTGGGGTAAGAGCTGAATCTGCTGCCCTTGGCACGTGTATGTACCTGTGTGTATGAGTATGAACGTGTGCGCGTGTTATGGAATATTCTGCTCTTACGTCTTTGGTGAGACGTTTCGAATCGAATTAAAAGAACCTCTTTCGAACCCGTTTATCTACAGCTCTCGGCATTAAAAAGGACCTTTTTTTTCTTCTCTTCAACGAGCCCACAGCAGATCTCGGTAATTTTTCACAACTTGCTCCTTAGACTCAGAACTACCCACTCACTCTTCTCTGAATAATATCGATGTCCCTTTGGTACGTATGGTGCCCAGAACCTCACCCAGTACACGTGGGCTTGCCGATGAGCAAAGCAAGGCAATAGTAACTTGTTTCAACTTGCAATGAAATGCCTATGAGGCATCCCAGTACTTTACTAACCTGGTTGATAATAGGATCCTATCTGTGAATCATCAATTCCTTTCGCTCAACCCACCTTACGTGAAAACGCCAGTCATCGCACACATCACGTTTACATTTCTTAAAATGTATTTCATTTCCTTGTCAAGTCCCCCCCCCCTTCGCCCCCACACACCAACCACTCCCCTCCTCCCCCACACACCCCACACACCCCGTTTCACTGCTGCAGGAAATGAGTGTCCAGGTTAGAGCTATAGGAGCATCTGCTACCTCCGCTTGCTCACCGGTCAAATTATTCATGTGTGTGAGGCTTGGCAGTGAGTGCTGACAGCCTGTTGAGATATAGCTGTCGACCCAGGCGCACATTCAAACATAAAGGTAGGTCACCGACTATCAATACGAAGCAGGAACCTTGGCTGCTTTTGCCCCTCTACAGCCCAGGGATGCTGAGATTAATTTCTCTGCTGCTATCCCTATCTCTATTTAAATACAGCAAACCTCACACAAGTTGTGTCAGTCGGGACCACACATTTAATACGACTTATGCAAAGTAAGAGTTACCGCATGTCAAATTTGCCTCAGACATAAGCTCTTGAATGGCACTTGGGACAAATGTACGACTTAGGCGAATATATGATTTATTTGAAGGATTTGTTTCCTTCAAACAAAATATTTGGTCACTCATTCCATGACTGTCTGTGGTACACTGCGGTGTGCAATTGGCTGCCACATTTTGCCCGCAAAAAAAAATAGTCAATTACTATACAGAATATTCTGTGAAGCACTTTGAGACGTCTCAAAGACATGATAGGGCGCTATACCAAATGCAAGGATCGTTATTATTATTATTATTATTATTATTATATAGATTAGATATGCAAGTTTTGCTGCATTCCTAGATAGAGCTAAATATTACTGAAGTACAGATTTGCTCCATTTGCAGACAGCTCAAAATGTTGACCGAAAAGAATCACTTTGCACAGCGACATTACAGACCTGTTAAACCTGTGGTGTCGACATAGATTTTTGCAACTCCTTTATTTTTCCTTCAAAATTTGCCTTGAAACAAAATGTCATCAGTCACCCAGGCCTCCACCAAAGACCAATAGGAACTACAATATGCATCTGCCTTCCCCCTCTCATATATAACCAACAACAATTCAACAACAAATTACCTTTCAGGTCAGAAGGACGTCAAGGCGCTGAACTCACTGGTTTGTCTATTCCTCCTCCCCGGTGATGCAGATAGTGGACATTTGTATCTTTCCCTTCCGATATCCTCTTGTCTCAACTCCTACTGGAGACTTATGCTGATGTGAGGTGGCCAAAGACACTGGTGATCCAAATAGTCGCCTTCCGGGGCTGAAATCGCCTATTTCTGAGACATTGAGGAGAATTGGGCTCCTCATTTGAGTGCCAATTGTCCTGATGTGATATGGGATAGAGGATGTGAGAAGGCTATTCGAAGGTAAGGTCATCACAGCCTCATCTCATTTCTGTGAGCTGGGCTCACTGAACACAATTCATATTGGCAACATCATCACCGATTCCTCCTGAAGCCCCATAACGGCCAGCATATCAAACCGACCAGTGACCTGGGTGAGAGCATCTAACTACGGCTCAAATTCACTCCAATGATGTTGTTTAGAGGATGTTAACAACAAGTCCTGTAGCTCAGTGGTTAGAGCGCTCGCTTTGCAAGTGAGAGACCTGAGTTCAATTCCAGGCAGAGGGCGAAACCTTGGGCAAGTTTCCTTACTCCACACAGAGCCTAATAATAATCCCTCCAAAACCCAAAAACAATAATAAATTGGTCATTTTCAATCTACGGCTGTTTGTGGGACATTGCTGTGCGCAATTGGCTGCCGCGTTCGCCCACAAATATACAGTCAATTCACTTTACAGTGTGTTCTGTGAAAGCGCTTTGGGACGTCCTCCCGACGTGAAAAGCGCTATATCAAATGCAAGGATTATTATTATTATTATTATTATTAACAACTTGTACTTATAAAGTACCCTTCACACGGGTAGTGTCTCAGAGTGGAGTGGCTTGACGCTGAGCTGAAAAGAGCAGGGAGGTGACTGAATTTACGGTTGAAAAGGAAAGTATTCAGGTGTGATTTGAAGATGGGCAAAGAGGGGGCAAGATGGGGTGGTGGGGGGAGGGAGCTCTAGAGATTCGGGGCATAATGGCTGTAAGCATGGCTGCCAATGGTGGAGCAAGGGCAGGAGAAACATGCAGAAGATCTGAGCCAGTTGAGCAAAAGCGAGGAGCAGTGTGAGCAAAGCTCCCGCATAACATTAAAGATCCCGCGACACTATTTGAGAGAAGAGCAAAACGTTTTCCAGGTGTTCCGGCCAACAATCCTCTACATTAATTGATCATATATTATTGATTCACCTCTAGAACTGTAGACTAGAGAGTGACAGTTCTACGACCATTCTTATACCAAAGTTAGCGACTGTGCAGAGCAAAATCGGATGAAATCTCAAATTCCAAGTAAAATCACTCAATCTAACAACTGGGAGGATCATTCCAATCGATCAGCAACTGATGAATTAAGTTTGCCTACAATTGGTTGCCAATTAAATTCGTTCATTAATCAATACAATTGGCTGCCGTGTTTCGCCCACAAAATACAGACAATCCACTTTACAATATATTCTGCGAAGCTCTTTGAGACGTCTCAATGATGCAATAATAATCCTTGGAATTGACACAGCGCCTTATCACATCTTCCATTCGTCTCAAAGCCCTTCACAGAGTATACTGTAAAGTGAATTGACTGTACATTGCGTGGGCAAAACGTGGCAACCAATTACGCACAGCAGCGTCCCCGCAAACGGCGGTGGAATAGAGTGCCCAATTCTTTATTCTTTATTTTTTTGGAAGGAATTCTTTTTTTTGAAGGAATTACTACGCTGCGATTTTATAATATAAAATGCAAGGATCAGTATTATTTTTTACAAATACGCAGACACACTAGATTTTAGAGAAACTTTCTGAAACTAGTCAGATTTGGAGATTGTGTCAAATGGGAAGGAGTTAATATTATCAATAACGAGTTCGACTGGGTATATAAACTATCTGCCTCACTTCACTGCTGTGACCACAATGATCCATTCCCTGCAAAAGGTGGTGGGGGAGTTAATTTAAATCAAGTTTAAGTTTAATTTCATTTGTAATTCTTTTCTTTCCCATTAAATCGTGGGAACGTTCTTCTGAATCATTTGCAATTAATAAGTTTATTACCAGCTGAATTACACTGAGCTCTCACCCCCCCCCCCCCCCCCCCACCCTTTCTCTTGCTAAGTGAGCAGACAGACTCACTTAACTTTATGTAATGTAATCTTTGCTTCAAAACCCCAACCACACTCTCGACTGGATCCATAACAAATTCGTTTTAAAGCTTCTCTTTGACTGAGTGCATGGAGGAGGGAGGAGGATTAAAAGAAAAAACACAGCCCCTGCTATTGCAATCACATTTCAATGCAACTTTTAAAAGTTGTCCTGGTCCCCCCCACCCCCAACACACACACACACACACAACCAGAGAGTAAGAGACCAGGACCTGAAAACTTTGACCCAACTCAAAAAAAAAACAAGAGTAACTCCTTACCTTGATCAAACTTCGTTTCAGGGACTTTGTTGGATCTGTAATCTTCTATTTCTTTCTGGTGTCTCAGTCCCTTCAATGTGCCAGAACCACCCCCCACCTCATATCTCAGCTCTCTCCCCTTCCCAACAGCACCTCATCTCCCCCCACTCAGCCCACCACCCTCAGCACTCCATGTGAACTGAATGAGTTTTATTCCCAAGAAGTCTTGGGACTGAATGATCCCACTGCCAGACGAGCAAAGGTTGTCCTTACATGCAAAAAAAACCTGGAGCATCCTGGATCTCTGTCAGATCTGGACAGGAGCCAGTTTTACTCCAGGCAAGGCAAGCAACTCAGCTGCTAGTGTTCTCTGCAGGTAGAGAGTATTGCTTTTGGTGCAGATTTCTTGCGAGATAATACAGTAGAATCAGCAGCTTTGGGGTTTCATTGTGACCGCCTGTGCTTGTAATAATTATTATTATTGATGGTAGTATTTTTCATCCGATTGTCGGAGCAAATGATCCTATTGTAATAATCTTTACGTATAATAATAATAATAATAATAACTATTAAATGTAATGATAATAATTCTTAGATTTGATAATAATCCTTGCATTTGATATAGCCCCTTTGCAACCCTGAGCCTTGGTCCACCTGCTCTGCTGTCTTGATGGATCCAAAAGTGATGGTCCGGGTTTACTTTTCTCAATCCCATTGAAAATCTTGCACAGCATTAGACGATCCCTTCTGTGACATTTTCTTTCAAGACTGAAGAGCCTGAACTTGTCTAATTAAGTGATAGGCAATACTTCACCATATCTTTTTACCGCTAATAATTACTAATGTGTTTTGCAGTTCTCAGGCTGTGTAATAATGATTAATTATATCGAGATTGGTTATGAATTTCAGGTGATGTAATCACGTCTGTGTGTTAGACACAATGCATTGTGCCTTCTCTGCCGGCTCAGCGAGTTTATCCAGTGAGTAGCTGAGCAATATAGACCTGGGAGTTTGCAGAGATAGACCTGGGAGCCACCAAAGACATGATGGACTGAATGGCCTTCTTCTAAGATATACATTTCTATGGACCTCTGGCACTATAACCACTGCTTTCCAATCAAACTCAGCATTCTCATTCTCACCTTTTTCAGCCCTCCACGTCCTTTTATTTCATTTGAGGTCCGAAATACCTCACCATCAAAGCTGGTAGTTACCACATCACCATGAACCGACACCAGCCACGATCATCACATCACTGCGATACCCATCACTAATAATAATTATCACAGCACAAGCCACATTTCTCCCCAATTATATTCAGTCCGTGCCAGACTAACCCAACAAAGAGTGGGTCAAAGAGAACAGGAAAAGGCTGGTCCTTGGATACGCAGGAAGGTTTATAAAAGTTGATTAGTTCCCCTACTTTCCTTTCTGGAGCAGTGAGACAGGAACTTTGCGCAGTGACAGGTAAACAAGCCGAAGCTTCTCGGGTAATCACACGCACTGCCATCTGACACAGCACCCCACGGCTGTTCTGAATGCCAAACTAACAGGGTGTGTGTTTCGATGCCATATGTCTCCCGAGTTATGCAGAAGGCATTCCCATTGTTCGCTCGGCAGAATGGTGCCATCTCACACCACTGTTGGACCGAGCAACTCATTCTGTCACATCCCTGCGGCTTTGCTGATTTATTTGCGACAATAAGCTGTTTGGTGTATTTCAACTGGTTGGATTTACACTGCAACCCGCTCAGATCAGAGTTGCCACCAAATTCCATCTCGGCACCCTGGTTCTCCGCATTCTGCTGCACATTCCTTCCTGATTTTTCCCCTCCTGAAGGCAATAATATTCTTATTATTATTGACTCATAATGGCCACAGTTCCACAATGAGCCTGCAGTAACCATTCTTCATATGGAAGCCTCAAAGGCAAACCCAAGTAGGTTAGTCAACCCTGGAGAGCATCACAGCCGAGCCCTAATCTCCTAACCTCACTTTCTATAAGTGGTTCCTCTACAGTGATCAGAAGTGGGAATCGTGGCTAGTTTGCCCCTCTGTAAACCGGGGCTAATGAACTGTAACAAGTTCCCAATTCTGTTCCTGTTGTTTGTTTCGCTCTGAAAGGAGTTCTTGTCATTACTGTCGTGCTTGTAAATGATATTCTGACACCGAAGGAAAAATGCAGACCACAAGAACAAATTACATTTACACAGCGCCTTTCACGTCGGGAGGATGTGTCCCAAGGTGCTGGACAGTCAAGGATTTGTACTCGAGCTGGGTGTCGGGGTCAGGCAGGGTGGAGGGTAGGGAATGTGGGTGTAGGAGGGAACCAAAGGCGTGGGCGGAGGAGGATCTTGAGACAGCCTTGAAGGAGGCAAGGGAGGGGGCGAGGCGAAGGGTTTGTGGGAGGCCAGAGCCAACTGAGCCGAGCAGTGGACAGGTCAGTACGGATTTAGTAGGTCATAGAGGTAGGGAGGAATAAGGCTGTAGAGAGGCTTTGAAAGCGAGGACGAGGATTTTGAACTCTATCCTCTCGGGGATGGGGAGGCAGTGGAGCCGGTCATAATTCATAATATTAATAATAACCTTTGCATTTAATATGACGCTTACAAATGTTGAATCTTCTTAGGGCACCTAATTGATGTCAAGTGTAGTGACTGTGAATTTATAGGCCTACACGGCAGCCAGTTTGAGCACAGCGATGTGCCCACACAAACAGCCGCGAAGTGAAGGACGAACTTCAACTGAGGGATTGTTGGCCAGGACACTCCCTTCTCTTTTCAAATAGCGCAGCGATGAGATTTTTAAGGTTCTTGGAAAAAGCAGGCAGACAGGACTAGGACCTTGGTTTTACGTCTCATCCGAAGGCCTGCGCCTCAGACAGGGCGATGCTCCCTACTCTTGCACCGCGGAGGAATGAATGCGCAGAGAGGGAGAAAAGAGAAAGGAAAAAAATGACCATCAATAAAACAAATACAATGAAGGTATTGTGGCTTCGTATTTATTCAGCAGTTCAAAAGATACCACCCGAATAACTTTGCTGTGTAAGTGCTTATGATTCCCTTGCCCTTCCCTCATTGGGAATTAAGTTATACAAGTTAGCATTAGCCAGAATTAGTTTCAGAGACATGGAATGTGACAGAAAACATCTGTCTTATTAAGACTACAAATAGCATCTAATCCGGAATTGGCGCACAAGTAGATTCAATCCTTGGGAACCTGGTCTGGTGTGTGCTGCAGAGCAACGTGACATTGGCTTTTGATGCCTGAATGCGATCTGTCTCTTATATCTCAGGTGTTTTTTGATGCTTGTTGTTGTAAACAACATGAAGTGATTGGAGACGTCCTGCCGACAGGAAAGCCGCAATATCGTATCAAGGTTATATTAAACCTTGCGTGTAATGCAGCGAACTTAACGCGTCCTTGAAACATCGCAAAGGGCTTTACAGGATATACTGCAAAGTGTAGTGACTGTGTAGCTGTAGGGAAATGTCTGTGCACTTTGAAGACATTATGCAAAAAAAAAGCAATGTGTGGTATTGAGAGTTAAAAACCAGGAAAGTGCTGGACATTAAAATTATCCCTTGTCCCAGGTCTAATTATCTCCTGGTCTGTTCCATATCTCCTGTAGTGCCAGCCCCACCATTGGCAATTGAGCCTTCAGCCTCTCTGCCCTCACCTTATGGAACTCCATCCCACAAACCCTTCGCCATGCCCCCTCCCTTGCCTCCTTCAAGGCCCATCTCAAGACCCTCCTCTTTGACCACGCCTTCGATCACCCTCCTACCCTTTCCCTCCCTGCCCTCCAACCACCCAAATCCCAACCCCCAGCTCGCGTGCAAAATCCTTGACCGTACAGGCGCTATACAAATGTAGTTGTTGTTGTTGTTGGACTGGGATAAAGCAATATTGAACTGAGATACTTTGCAGATATAGTATCATTTGGAAAAAGTCACACAATTCACATTTAATGCCTTGCACGAGTCGGGAGGACATGTCAAAGTGCTTAACAGTGCCTGTTCTGGTGGAGGTTGAGGATTCCCCCGGCTCTATTCGAAAGGAGAAGGGAATCAGTCTCTGCCTGTGTCCTACCAGAATAATGTTATCATTCAGATCTTGACAGTTTGTGGGACGTTGCGAGATGCAAATTGTCTGATGCATTTGCCTGACAAAGACCTAGTCACAATGCACAGTGATTACCTCAATTGAGACATTACAGTAGAATCCCAAGCAAGGTTCAAAAGTTACCTCGCGAAAGTAAAGACGCTATAAAAAGCAAGTTCTCCCTTTTGGCTTTGTTGTGAGGCATGCAAACAATTCAGATCATGCAAGGTGACCACGCATTGCGGAAATGTACACTATCGTGCTTCCCAAAGTAAGTCACGCAATGGCTGGTTCTCGCACTTCATCTGGAGACTGAGCTGAGAGAAGGGATAGGCCTGAAATCCTACGCAAACGCCAGCAACCGACAAAACTTTAGATTAACCCGACTGCGGTTACAGTTTGTTTGCCTGTAGAACCTGAAAACAGTGGTCAATTTCCAATCTGGTGCTCAACATGTGTGTCAGGCTGGCGCAGTGATGGCGCTCTCTCTCTCTCTCTCTCTCTCTCGCCTCTGAGTCAGAAGGTTGTGGGGTTCACGTCAGGATTTGGAATCACACAATCTAAGCTGATGCTCCAAGATGCTAAACCGAGGTCCTCCCGGCCGCCTTTCCAGGTGGGTGTTAAAGATCCCGCGGCGCTATTCGAAGAGAGAGTGGAGTTTCTCTCTCCCGGTGTCCTGGACCCAAACAGAAATTGGTCACTCACTCCACGGCTGTTTGTGGAACACCGCTGCGCGCAAATTGGCTGCTGCGTTTTGCCCACACGATACACAATCAATCCGCTCTACAGCATATTCTGTGAAGCGCTTTTGAGACATCTCGATGATAAGGCGCTGCACCAAATGCAAGGATTATTATTGCAACATGCACAGCGCTGGAAACTGAGCACAGGAAAAGCCTTCCTTGGTGCCATGAGGCAAAACCACAGCTGTTGCCTGAGCTCTTTGTTTTCATTTATACCTGGGCGTTAGCAAGACATTCGCACAAAAGGCTCTAATCAGCTCTTGAAAGGCTCTAAGAGTTTATCCAGGCAGAACCTGAGTCATCCGGATTGAAACGCTGCGTTATTGGCAGGCTGGCTCACTGACCTCGGGTTCACAGGAATCAGCGTCCTGTAATGTATTGGTTAGAGGACCCGGGC